CCTGCTGAAAATATTACCATGCTATCACCGCTTACTAATTGGTCACCATGAAATCACTGCTTCCTAATCTATTCAGGCTATACATTGCAGCCTTTTTTCCCCTCTATATCTAAAACTTGGGAAGTATAAAACATGAAATCCCTTTTTATCCATGGATGTAGCAAGTTTAACCTCTCATTACAAGGAGGAACTGCTATTTCAGTACATATTTAATCCATCAGACTGGGTTTGGACACCTACCCGAGTCCAAACACACAGCATGAGTCGTGCTCTCTCGAGCATTCAGTGCCTGTCTGTCTCACAGGTTTTAATACCTTTATCCAGCGAAGCTCCAGCCATGTGGTAGAAGCTCAAAGCCGTGTCCACGTCATTTATATTCTTCAGAAAAGTGAAGAAGCTCTCCACTTCCTCAAATGTCAACCCCTAGGACAAAGAAAATACGGTCTCACAATGATGGGAAAAGGAGATTGTGTCAGTACTTGCATTACCAACAAAGTAATGTAGCCAGAGGGGAATTAATCTACAACAAACACTCACCTACTCAAAAAACTCCTGCACTGGCAACTGAGGATATGGTTTGCAACCCATACTTTTGTTAACCCCCTCTGCTCCCCCCCCAGCCCCACCAGTTGTGTGAAAGGAAGGGACTTCCTCATGCATGGTTGCTCATGGCAGAGACCAAAAAGCATCTCTCTGGCCCTGACTCCACAGCCAGCCCTCACTCAGAAGAGTGGATGTGCCATGAGCCTGTGGTTGGGATGCAGGAGACCTCTGCAAGCAGGTTCATTTATGTATTTTTTTTCAAGCCTGCACACTTGCAATGACAATAATGAAATAGTTCAAGCGCTGCACAGTCCCTTCCCAAGAGATTCAGGGATCCCTCGGAGGGATCCATGTCTTACCCAGTGTTGCAGAAGGTGACACTGCAAACCACAGCACGTACAGACGTGCCCCAGTTAGCTTTGCTGCTGGTGACAGGATGGCTGCAGGACTGCATCACTGGCTGCTCTACTTACCAGCATGGTCACCCAGGAATTGGCTCACCCTGGGACAGGCAAGCGTGTGCAGGCCTATAGCCCACAGCCACACACCTGGATAGTCACAGAAAAGCATTCTGGGATCCTCCAGTGCTGGCACTGCTACATCCCAGCACAGCGGGTGAACAGGCTGGGGATAAGTGAGATGCTCCTCTCTGCACCCACCCAACTGGTGAGGTGGCTGGGAGAGTGGCTGCTGACCACACAGAATCACACACAGAATATCAGGAGTTGGAAGGGACCT